CGGATTTTAGAAGGTCGGGGCACAATTTCCGAGAAATCTCGCAAGAATAAGGCTGATTTCGGTGAGTCATCGCGCCACGTGTCCGAGCCGAAGACCCAGCTGCTGACGCGTCGCCTTCTGATTCGTCCGAGCAGCGGGGCAATCCCCGTATCCGATCCATGACTCATCCTCACATGAACAGTACCCGCGTGTCGCTTCCGGATGACCAACTTCGCGACCAGTAGCCTTCCGACGCGCCTCGCACACCTGTCCGAACCGAGGCCTCGCAGCCTGCCACCTGCTTCGCTCTGCTGACGCCGCGTGTCCGCTGACTCATCTCTTCTCGGATCCGAAGGTCGGTCTCGCACCCTATATAAGGGAGGTGCGAGACTTCCCGGGTAAGAGTTTATTTTTGCCCCTTTTTCACCCCTAAACTTTATTTTAAGCCATTTCGACTTCCCCCGTAGCCCCGGTATTAATTCCAATGCCCGAAACACGCCCCGAGATTCCCGAGAAGCCCAAAAAATTTATCTTTTCGGTTTCGAAGCTCTACCTTCGCAGAGCCCGGTTTTCAAGAAAACTCCCGGTTTTCAACGACGAAAGTCATATTTAGAGCCGAAATGATGCACAAATTATTATTTTGACCCCCGGTTAATTCAAGGTGAGTTTAATATATAGGAACAATTGTATGTTATGTGTTATATGTGTTATGTGCTTTTCCATGTTATCATCTCGAGTTGTTGTTTCCGCTATTTTTATAGCAAGGCTGTACCTCTGACTTGAAGTGTATGACATAGGCATCACTTGGGTATTGGTATGAACCGTTGACCGTGAAGTGTATGACATAGGCATCACTTTGGCTTCGGTAGTATGCTAAGATAAGGCTGAAAGCCTGGATATTCTAGCAAAATAATATTCTTGAGTATTTTCTCATGTTAATTTTTATTCGCTACGTTTAATAGCAAAGTAATACCTTTGACCATGTGATCAGTGAAAGGACTTAGATTCATATTGGTACTGGTATGTAGCCTCTGGCCATGTAGAACATGTCTCCGTAAGAGAATGATTTCTATTCTATGGTATTGGCAAAAAGGGTTAGAAAGGGCGTGAAAACCTGAAATCTATCAAAAGGTTAATCCGAAGTTGTATGTCTTCTGTGCTATTTGGGCCAAAACGTTATTGATATATATCAAGTATGGAAATTGTTATGTCTCAGTGATTGTATATCTTTGAATCAAATCAATGATTGTTAGGGAAAGCTTATCACATTATGCCTTTGTTGTTCCTTGCTCCTATTTGCTTCTGTCATATTGGTATATATATATATATATATATATATATATATATATATATATATATATATATATATATATATATATGGCATAACGTTATATTGTATCTATTATTGAACTCACTAAGCGTTATCGCTTACCCCTCCCAATGTTTTAACATAATGCAGGCAATAAGCACCCAGTATAGTTGGAAGACTTAGAATAGTTTGAAATAGTACTTTTGTACTTCAGTTTATGTTTGTATAAAATTACAATATCCTGGGTAGTTATGTAAAATATTAAAACATAGTCGGTTTGTATCCAATCTTTTGTAATGACTTTATCAATGTAAAAATATTATTTTATAAAAATGCATGTAGCATGTTTTGGAATAACTATATTGTCAAGTATGAAAGTTTGGGTCTTTCAGAAATATGAAAGTATAGAAAGGGGTTCTTTCACCAAGCGTGTAACAAAAACAAATAGTAGGGAGCAAGCACGTAACAAAAACAAACAGTAGGGACTTTCCGAGTTAAAAAAATAAGTTAGGGACCAAACACGCAAATTACCCCAAACCATAGGGACCATTCGTGTAATTTACTCGGAAATAAATGCAAAATAATTTAGAAGTGTAAAAGGGTAATAAAATATCAGTTTTATTAATAAAAAAACAGTACTACAGTTAAAATTTCTAAAGTGTTAAAAAAAACCATTATCACATATTTACCATATTTTTAGCCGAAAAAATAAAAAAAATATATTAATATAGATATTGCATGACAGGAAGATTGTAAAGTTTCATTCATAAAAATGTCATATATATTAGCCCAACGAACTTGTTACGTTTGTCCGATTTGATCACAAAAATTATTTTATGTGCCATAGGTTAGTAAACTTGCATATTTGTTGTCAATTACACTGTAATGTCCCATTTTTCAAAACAAATTTTTTATATTTTTGTTAAGGTAAAACTTCCCAATTTATACATTCATTATTAAGAAAACTGTTTATTCCAAATTACATTTATTAAATATCAAAGTTTCATAGAAAACGCAGAATCCTCAATGTTGTTGATGAGTGTGTACAGTCTCGCCTTCGTCTTCCCATAGCCACCAATGATACCTGAAACAATAAACAATTGTGTAAACATAAATCTTAGTGAGTTTTCCCCAAAATACCTCATACGATAAACATACAAGCATACATCGGGTCCACTCAGCCACCAGGCTGGAATACCCAGGGGTTGTTGGCCTACCGCCTCAACACAACCGCTCTTCCAGAGCCTCCGTGCCTACGACTTAAAGCCAGTCTGCACCGGGTATCTTGGCCTACAGCACAAAGTATGACCGCCTCAACCCACCGCTACCATATGTCGACATATAAACAAACAAGGATCAAGCAGGCACATAATACAGACAAACAACAATCATATAGCTTACTACCGCCTACTAGTCCTCTCACCGCATACGGTCCTGCTACCAGCTATCCTCCATGAAATGTGTAACCATAAGTAACCAGAGGTGAGATAGCCACCTGAACAGATGATCCTACTCTGGAGCCACAACCAAACAAGGAACAGAAAAGAAAGCCTAGATCAAGACTTCTCAGGTTATCCTATGTGACTACAAACATTCCCTAGGGCACTCCACCAGATGATAACCAGCAAGCACATATAACATACAGATCCAGCATATCACTACAATAACGCAACATACTCGATACCAAGATACATATCTAACATATCACTACAACATAACAGCATCCTCGATACCAGAATACAAATATAACAGATCCCTACAGCATAACAACGTACTCGATACCATAATACAGATCTAACAGATCCCTACAGCATAACAGCATACTCGATACCAGAATACAGATCTAACAGATCCCTAGAGCATAACTACATACTAAGTATCCACAATCCAAGGAATGCATGACTGTATATATTCAGAGGTGAGATAGCCACCCGGACAGGTGGTCCTACTCTAAAACCATAACCAAAAAAGGAACCATGTAAGAGAGCCTAGACCAAGAGTCCTCATTCTATCCTATATGACTATATATAGTCCTTAAGACATCCTTCTACTAACAGATAACCAAAACTAGTGGGCCGGCATTGGTGCCTTCGACTCAAAGTACAATGAGGCAAAACTCACCTGAAATGAAGAAACTCGAGAACACCGTGATATGCTCCATGTTACACTACTTGCTCCCGTGGATCCATTAACATCGGGACCATATAAAATCTTAATCACCAATCAAAACCCAAAACCCTCAAGTTTGACCTAAAGTCAAACTTGGTCAAAAAGTCAATGGTCAAAAAGTCAACTCAGACCGAGTACGCCCAGCGTAATCGGCACGTACTCGCGATCCAGATCGTGGCTCCCTCCGGCGTACGCCCAGTGTACGACCAGGTACACCCAACGTACGCGACGTCTTACCAACCTCACTTTTAAGGACTTAATCCCTTAAGTCACTTCACCCAATTCTTAGTTCTAGTCCCAAATGACACCCCAAACCATAAAGTTTCCAACTATATGGTTCTACACATCTAAATCAAGCCCAACAACAAAACCCTAACTTTCTTACCCACTAAAGCTCTTAACAACTTGCATGGGAGAAACTAAGGGGCCAAGATCATATTTTTATGACTCTAGACATGGAAAAACGTCCAAAAGGATAGCTCAAAAGGATTAGAGTACCTCATACTCTTAATACCAAGCTCATGGGACCAAAATAACCACAAATCCAAGGCTAACGAGATCTAAATGAAATCAATATCAAGTTCAGAACTTTATACCTCCAAAGGGTGTCAAAAGATGGTAAAATCCTGGATCCAAAGTGTCCCACTCTTCAAGGATGATCTTCTCTTCCCACTTGCTCCTTCAAGGACACCAAAATGTACAGCAAAGCTCAAAATGCACTTGAGAGGATTAGGGTTGGCTAAGGAACGATTTTCCAGATGGAGGCTGAGGAGGGGAAGGGGTCTTGAGCCATAAAGATGTATATATATAGTGCTCAAACCCTAAATAATTTGGGTTTGGCCTGTCCAGAGTACGCCCAACGTACTACAGGCGTACGCCCCCTTATTCTAATTGCCACATGGGACCCTTTTGCAACAAATCTCACTTCAAGGGTTAAAAATGTAATATTTAAAAAACGAGGTGTTACATACACCATTTTAAGATTTATAAAGGGGTATTCCGGTTTTCTTTTGCTTATTTGGCATTTTATTAAATAAATATTTTATTTTGACGTAATGTTACGAGGCCCACAATAAAATTAGGTGGTCTTCTTCCAAACAATGTGCGTTCATTCCAGTGAACTCCAATTACCCACTGTCAAAGTCGTGTGATGTAAAGGTTTGTAATAAGTTATCGAATCTGTTTAGTGGCTTCAAATCCTTAAATGTGGCTTCATATCCTTCTTGTTCTCTTTCACAAACTCATTCCAGTTAGTCTTTAACACATAACTGCGTCTGCTTGTGCTTTTCAATCGCCTCATCTTCATGACTATTGGTTTTTGATGCAATCACAATCTTGGCCCCAATAATCCCACCTCAAACTCCTTTCCATTCTCCAGATCTTGTTTCTCGTTTTCTGTCAAGAACTCATTCGTTTTCAGTTGTTTCAATCTCCAAGTGCTCACCATTGGCTTACTTTTCATTTTGTCTTCTCAGTGGGAGGCCTTAATGTCTTTGAGTCTTCTTCATCTTGCTCTGCTAAACCCTAGTGCTAGTATCAATTTTTAATGGATTAAGACTAACATTGATTGCGTTAGTCCCACTGGACCTCGTGTACTTGAAACAAGAGGCAAATGGGGAGTTGGACTGTCATTTGAAGCACCAGTGGCACTTGCACCGACATCGACACCATCGAGATGTGGCAGAGATGGTGATGGGTCTGAAGCACCAGCAGCACCCCTACCTGGAAACCGGTCTACAAGTTTCGCAAATTCTCCCAAACCCAAACCTTCAATCACATTCCCGGCATAGTAAACAAAATGCTCGACGTTGTCGGAAAATCAAGAAACATAGACCTTTTATGGGATCTGATCAATGAAATCAGGGATAGTCGTTTGGTTGCATGCATAATCTATAATTGGTCATTAAGCATATAGTCTTTGTTTCTGAATTCCCTGCTATTTATTATGCTCCAGCAATTCCAAGAAAACAACCATAGAAAACCAAAAACCATGTCTTATCATCATCTTCTTCATCCATTTAAATACGAGAAAACCACCACTAAAAGAGAATGATAAAAATATTGTAATGCCTGTAAAACTTTGATTTAAAAAAAAAATACATTCTCTTATATAAAATTTGACTAAAACTACATTCTTTATGTGAATAAACAAAACGAAACTTCATAGTTATATCTCAAACATATGCTAATAGTAAGTAAAAAAAAAAACATATTTCTAAATTCTAACTCCCCCCAGTGAGCAAACTAAAGAACAAGTCTTCTTTCTCACCATTGGCGTTAACCCCATCATTCGGCTTAATCAGAACCCCCATGGTGTCATTAGTTTTCAGAGGTTCAGGTCTTTTCACTGATACAAAAGCTAATTTCTTCTTTAATCGGGTTTAGGTTTAAAAGAATCTAAATTATTATCCAAAAAATTCAAACTTGTAATTTGTTCTTGTTCTTGTTCTTTGTTCTTGCTTGAAGGATCTGAATGATCTTTTTCAGCATTTTGATCGTTATCTTGTTTGCAATCATGAGTAAGAAGATTCTCTACCGAAGAGAGATTTTTCGCTTTAATGGTGGCAGGGTCTTCTACAGAAGGATTGTCTGCTGCTATATCCACCGGTTTTTGGGCTAAATGCAAGAAATAGCAACATACTTTCATTCATTTGTTTATTATATTTATAGCATATCATAATTCTGTTTCTTTATATTACACCATTGTAGTTTGAAAAATATATAAGGAAAAAAACAAAGAGAGTTTTGTAGATACTCTTACCTCCAAGAATAGTTTCAATGCTTTGGTATTCCACTGTTGATAAACCTTCACATATGACATCAACATTTGTTGCCTCTGGATTTTTGTTATCCAATTCACTCTTCCTCTCAACTAAAACAAATTTATCGGTTTCCCACACACATTCCAAAAACACAACTTCTTGCTCAGTTTTCGGGTAATATTCCCTAAAGACCTACATGTCACTCACACAAAAAGACTATATTAATCAAAAAATTAAATAAAATTACATTAAAATTGAAATACAACAAAGAAAATACCTCAATTCCTTCTTGGTTAAGTTTAACAGGCTGCTGCTTTTGTGAGAGAGAAGAAACCATGTTGAAGACTAAAACAACATCGAGTAATATCTGTCAAAAACAAAATAAAAAACTAGTATGCATAAGGATTAAGGAATTAAGCCCAAAATATAAAGATATAAAAAAAATAATCATCTTAATGCTTACTTGTTGAGTTAAAACTCGAAGGCGTGCAAGTATAGCCAACACAGTCATGGAGAATCCTATAAAAAAGGATCGAGCAAGCAAAGTAGATATCTCTCTATTCCAATGTCATGGAGATTAAAGATAAAAAATGTATGAATAACAAAAATTCCAAACTTAAACAAAAGAGAAAAAAAAATCATATTATGCAGTTTCCACTTGAAACACTTCATTTAGTCAAAATATAAGGTAGGATACATAGCTGCCTTCACCATTGGCTCAACCATCTGCAAAAAGAAAAAACAAAAACAGATATTGAATGTTAATGAATGGAGCTACATTCTATTAAATGAAGAACTTAAAATGTATAAATTTTGGAAGAATTACCTGTGAAAGTAAACGTGCAACACCCTGAAGCCGAACCATAAAATTATGTTTGACACTATCACATTTTCTTCTCTTTAAACTATGAATTATAAAAGTATCAATTGGAATTCAAACAGATTGCAGCATATAATATAGAGATTTCTTTTGAAAGGGGACTAGTGAGTAACTTTAGTAATAATATTAATACCTTTCCAAGAGCTGAACTTTTTGCTTAGGTCGATTCCCATTGATGACAAGAAAGGAGGAGTTAACAATTTCCTCCAAGTTAGTTGATTGAAGAAGCTTACAATCTTTTCTCACCTACTTTGCAAAAGAACTCTGGTTACATAAACATTATAAAACATATATAAACTTATGTGCAGTTCACTGACATCAGAGTTTATCCATATTATCAGATTAAAACCAAAAATGGTTTAGAAACAAGAAGCAATACCTTTAACAAGTACTGAAAATATGAGCTTCTGCGATGCTGGTTTTTATTTTTGTGTACAATTCTATCAAGAACACCTAAGTCTGACTGGAATTGACTAAGGAAAGATTGCAATCGTGCTTCAATGGTTTCAAACTGAGCATCCATGTCCTCTGCTCTTCAAAGACATATGTTAGCAATATCATGTACCTAAGAAATGTGAAGGCAGATAGTTACCCCCTTTGCCAATGTAATACATAATTTCTACTTTATTTTCATGTCGAGAAACTCTAAATTGGTACATGTAAAAACATTGGCCCAAAACACACAAACAACAAGAGAAAACAATTCAGCCAATACATGAATATATTAAACATGTAACTGATCAGTGAAAACATGCATATTAAGAAAGTAATCCCTCTCAGGAATTTGATCGAACAACTTGCATGCAATCTGATTTCTAATCTTCTGGTCATTCTGAGCAATCTGATTTCTATCCTTCAATTAACTTTGAGCGGTTTTTTCATCATCAAAACTTTGGTTCCGAAGAAATATAAGCCATAAGACTAAAGAACTCAAGACACTTCATAATTGAGAAATGTAGATGAACATGGATTATTGACATTAATCCATGAACCCAAACAACAAACAATTAGAAACATGAACAACAAACACGATTTTGTAAACGAACAACCAAAATAAGCAATATGCATCATCACGAACGACATTGATAACCTTGAAATATGTATCAGTATTGTCGATTTAAAAAAAAGCAGAAAAATAGGAAGACAAATGGAACCTAGGGTGGGGTGCGACTGTGTAGCTGTGGGGTGCAAAGGTCTCCGGCCGGTGGCTGAAGTCGAAGGTTTTATTAGGGGGTGTTTGGACTGCTTATATTGCTTAATCCCACTGCAATAAGCAAATTTAAGTGTTTGGATAGGAGTCTTAGAAATCAGCTTATTGCGGTAGGATTAAGCTAAATAAGCTGATTTTAATAAGCTAAGGGGGGAATGCTTATTGCTTATTGCTTATTGCTTATTGGTCATTTTTACTCATATAAGCTGTTTTGTTTGCCAAACACTTAAGATGCTTATTGATTATTCCCACCGCAATAAGCTAATCCAAATACATTTTAAAAAAGTGTTTATTCCCACAACAATAAGCAAATAAGCAATAAGCTAATAAACTAAAATCTATTTATCCAAACACCCCCTATGTGTGGAACCTAGGATGGAATACGACGGCGAGCAGGGGAGGAGTCGACGTGAGGAGCAAACACGATGGAGTCGTAAGTATAAAAGCTATGGTTGAAGTCGAAGGTTTTATTATGTATGGCCATATGGGCATGCTCAATTTTCATTGGGAAACTGCAATAAAGTCCCTACATATTGGTCTCATAATCGATTTAGTCCCTATATATTTTTTTTATTTAATTAAGTCTCAAATACCGGTAATCGTATTCAATTTAACCCTTTGACCCGGTCAACATGTCATCCAACTTTCAACAATTACATTTTTGGCCAGATTTCAAAATTTATTACAAATTTGGTCCAAAATTTACACTTTTGGCCTAGATTTTAAATTTTGTTACTAATTTGGTCTAAACTTTACCATTTTTGCCCAAATTTTAGAATTTTATTATGAATTCATCCTAACTTTAGTTTTTTTTACAACTTTTTTTCTCAAAGAATTGTTTCTAATATGTTTGTGATTTATAAAATCATATTTATACAAAAAAAATGTATTTTTACATAAAAATCTTATATTTTCTATATAAAAACATTTTTTAAAAAGTTTTTTGTATATGAAATATCTAGTTATAAAAATAAGTATTTGTTAAGTATATAAATATATACAAATTTGTTTTTATAAAAAAAATGTATACAAAAACGTATTTTACAAAAAAAATGTATACAAACACCTATTTTATCTATATTTTTTTATAAAATCGTGTTTGTTTACATTTTTTTTATAAAAACGTGTTTGCATAATTTTTTATATAATATGTGTTTTTATACATTTTATAAAATGTATACAAACACGATTTTATAAAATATATACAAACACGTATTATATAAAAAATTATTCAAACACGTTTCTATAAAATGTATACAAACACGATTTTATAAAATGTACACAAACACGTATTATATAAAAATTTATTCAAACACATTTATATAAAAAAATATAAACAAACACGATTTTATAAAAAAAATATAGATACACACCTATTTGTGTGCATATATATATATATATATAGATATATATATATATATATATATATATATAGATATATATATATATATATATATGGGAAAAGTGAATATACCCTTAAGGGTATATAAGCTTAGGTACTCAAACCTACCATAATACGTCGTTTTGTTTGATATATTAATTATAACGTTCTTAAACTTCAACCTCTAAGTTGATTTTACTTTCAAGATTTTCGAAATTTCTCTATTATCTTACTCTTACATCACGTATTTTTGTCGAACACCTACTACGCTATATATATTATAGTTGAAAAAGAAAATTATGTAAGAGGAAGATAAATGTGAAATTTATAAAAATTTTGGAAGTAAATCAAGTTAGAAGTTGAAATATAAGAACATTGAACAATGGGTACCTAAGCTTATATACACTTATGGGTATATTCACTTATATATATTATATATATATAGATATAGCTATATCTATATATATATATATCTCTATATATATAAAGGTGATAGGTGTTTGTATATATATTTTTTATAAAAACGGGTTTGTATATATTTATATACTTAATAAATACTTATTTTTATAACTAGATATTTCATATAGAAAAAACTTTTTATATAGAAAATATAAGATTTTTATGTGAAAATACGTTTTTTTTTTCTATAAATATGATTTTATAAAGAAAAAAATTAGAAACAATTTTTTGAGAAAAAAAGTTGCAAAAAAACTAAAGTTAGGATGAATTCATAATGAAATTCTAAAATTTGAGCAAAAAGGGTAAAGTTTGGACCAAATTTGTAACAAAATTTAAAATTTGGGCCAAAAGTGTAAATTTTGGACCAACTTTGTAATAAATTTTGAAATCTGGGCCAAAAATGTAATTTTTGAAAGTTGGATGACCTGTTGACCGGGTCAAAGGGTTAAATTGAATACGACTACCGGTATTTGGGACTTAATTGAATAAAAAAAATATATAAGGACTAAATCGATTATAAGACCAATATGTAGGGACTTTATTGCAGTTTTCCCATTTTCAAATATGGAACGGATAATAAGTTAAAAATAAATAAATAAATAACTTAGCCAAAGACCCTCTTAGTAGGTTTTGGATAAATGAAAGGCGCCATGTTGTTTCACAGCGAGCATGATAAAATTTTGAAAATTCAACTCTAGCTTGTAGAGGGAAAGTGTCAAAAAGTAGGCCCTAACGCAAAAGATTTCAAACTATGAAGTTGTAAACTCATGAATGCGTGCGTGTATGACAATCGCAGAGAGGACGTACCTTCTCCGTCCCGCCATTGGAGGTCATGATCGGAGAAAATTCAGGGATGCGGGAAGAAACGACGAGGGCTGTAGGCGCGGGCCTTAAACATTGTGATGTTCATATATTAATGGGCCTGAGTAAGGTTATGTTTGTTTTTTTGAAACAAGTATGCGGTCTGCAACCTTCTGCTGCAGTAGAAGAGGTGGACTAAACGGCTGTAGACTGTAATAAGAAGCGTGTTTGTTTCTTAACATCTGCATGCTGCTGTAGATATTAAAAAATTAAAATAAACTGATTTTGTAAACCGAAAATAGTTTTTTAATAAACAATTTAATAATGTATGACATTTCAGCAATAAAGATGAATTACTTGAATATTATGTGAATTGTGTGATTTTATTTGTTTATTATATATTGGCTTATAAAGACATAATAAAAATAAGCGTAAAAAATAAAGTGTTAGATAAACCTAATATCTATACATAAAGTTGTAGTGGTCGAAACAAGGATTCCAGATATATAAAGAACGCTGAAATCCGCGTTATAACAAAGAAATTATGATCTGTCGAAGTTTTACGGCAAAACTGGCACGACATCGGGAATCGTGGAAAGTGATTTTTTTGATAATCTACTTTTTTGCCTTAGAGATCTAAATGAAAGTTGTATTATACGTTAAACCGAGAACATACATAAAAAGAACGCCCAAATCTGACTTCATATGAGGAAGTTATGATTTTTTTAAGATTTAGCATAACAGTGCACAACCCGAAATTCGAATTTTAGATCCAGCGGTTTTTGGCCAACGCGACCTAAATGAGAATTGAATATCTCATTAATAGGAGGTCAACGATAAAAAGACTGACGAAAACGGAGTCCGTATGTAGAAGTTATGAATTTTACGCGGTCATTTAACAGTATAATCTTCTCATACTGTTAAATTTAAAATAAATTCAAAATTAGTCGACGGAGTCTAAACGAAAGTTTTAGAGTACGGTCCCGTCTACGCGTTGATATAAATAACGTCGAAAACGGAGCTTATATGTGAAAGTTATGAATTTTAGAAGTCGGGAGGTGAATCTGCGAAATTGATGACGTGGCATGATCTAGGTTGTCGCTTGCTGATCACGGTCTCGCCTTCGGATGGTGACAGCTGGCTCGCTACGCCTCGCGTACAAGGGAACGCCCAACATCTTAGGAATGTTGCGCGTACTCCGTATCCTTCTATGGTTCCGAAGCGGCCATGATGCTCCTGCAGTTTGCCAACACGTGTCTCTACGCCCCGCGTAGATCAGAAGAACGCAGCGTGTACCCGCGAGGCCTCGCACCTATAAATAGAGGTGCGAGGGCTGTCGAACTCTTCACTCATTTCCCATTCTCTTTCTCTCTCTATACTCTCTCTCTAGCCCCTAAAGCCTAGGAAAACCCCCTAGCACCCGAAGGAAGCCCCGAGGCTCCCGAAGGCTCCGAGAAAAGAGCTTTTCGGCTAGGAAACGCTACTCCAACGAAGCCTGGTTTTTAATAAAAACCCGATGTAAGTGATATACACCTACCATACTTTAAATATAGATTATATATAAATATAATATCATTATTATTAACCTATAAATAAGATTTATCAGTGATTCAAAGTCGTTATACTAATTGATCTACTTACGAGAATGATGTCTAGGCTGTGATTTAGTGATGTGTTTAAAGTGGGATTTCCAAACAGTATACTTCGTATACCGAA